AGACGCAACAGAGAGGGACAAAGAGGAAATGGAGAGGGAACAGAGAGGAAGCAGAGAGGGAACAGAGAGGGACAGAGAGGGAATGGAGAGGGAAGAGAGAGGGAACAGAGAGGGACAGAGAGGGAATGGAGAGGGAACAGAGAGAGGACAGAGAGGGGACAGAGAGGGAACAGAGAGGGAACAGAGAGGGGACAGAGAGGGAACAGAGAGGGGACAGAGAGGGAACAGAGAGAGGACAGAGAGGGAACAGAGAGGGGACAGAGAAGGAACGGAGAGGGAACAGAGAGGGAACAGAGAGGGACAGAGAGGGAATGGAGAGGGAACAGAGAGGGGACAGAGAGGGAACAGAGAGGGAACAGAGAGGGAAACAGTAAGTGGAACATGAACCCAGAAACTCTGGAGAATAGCACAACAAATATTCCTGAAGTATCTTCAGTCGTTGTGGACGGTGACGATGTGAACAGGAACGGTCTCCAGTAGCAGTCAGTCTTCAGAGAATCAGAGGAAGCTTCTGACTGAAGACTGTTGCTATGTGATATTCTCATGCTAACATGCTAACAGCTCAATATCCAAACAGGAGAGACGATGTTCCACAATAATATCCTCAATAAGAGATGGGTTTTCTTTGTCATTTTCTGAAACAATTTACTGCTAAATGTTCAGCCACCAGAAGTCGTAGCGCTCTATTTTCATTCAAAACTGCTTTCCTGTTTTTTCAGGTAGTTTATTTCCAGAATTGTAGAAAACTAAAAAATACACTAAATATTACATATTTGTTTGGCAAAGTAAGTATTGAAGCTAAATACTTAGCTCAGAGCTAAATGTTTGTCAGTAACCACAGGTGGACTTCCAAAATAAAGCTGGGAGTTCATTGTATTTTTTAATACAATCTTTTGATTTGCAATACTTGATTTCAGAATTTCCTGTTGGTGAAACTGAACCGCTTAATGTCACCTCTTTATCGTTGTTTCTTTTCTTCAGTTTAAAGCAAAGAATGTTGAAGATCAGAGAAAAAAGTGGATCCAGAGACCCATATCAAGCAGAAGATTCATGAAATGGAAGAAAAACAGAAGCGCATTGAGCAGCTAGAGGACTTCCCTCTACAGGACCCAGGTTTGATTTTGATAGTCACTTCTGCTTATTGGTAAGTTAATTTTATATTAGCTAGATATGTTGATGGCTCAGAGCTAAATATTTAGTTTTGTAAACTAAATGTAAACTTGTAAGTCTGGGTTCTGTAACTTCACCATCGGGACCCATTATTATTCTCTCTCTGTGTGAATATTTAGTAAACAAATCAGTGAAACATTAATTTGAATAAAATAATGAATGAATCTTACAGAAACATGTAGATAATCAGCAGAGTGTTGAGAGAAACAGTTTTCATGACTCTGCTGTCAAACACGACCTCTGAACCTGGAAACAAAAAAAATTCATTTTTCTTTTTAAATTATTTAAAAAAAAAATAATTTAGAAATGTTTAATAATCAGAAAATGTGGAAAACTCCTCAGAATCTAGTTAAATCAATCAGATATGATCAAAATGAATATTTAGGATATGAAATTTGGTTTCATTTTTGCCAATCAATCTTCACCTAAAACGTTAAACAAAAATGATTCTGGAATGTTTTGTCCTTGTTGTTAATCTATTTGTTCATAAAGTGCAGCGTCTTTATCACAACATCCTGGTTAAAGTTAAAATGGCCGATGTTTTATTTTGTTGTTGGACACACCTGACCACAAACGTTAAGACATAATTATTCCTTTCAGAGGATGAATCAGCTGAAGGTTCATCCGGGTTGTTTCTGTGAACATGTGAGCAGAACTCACTGGACCGGAGCGAGTTCTGTGACTTCTTGGTGCCGCTCTGCTGGTTCTGATGCTGCTTCTTCACTTTGTGCTTCTGCTCCGGAGAAGGCGAGTTACCTTTTTGTTTCAGGGCGTCCAGGAAGTGAGGGATGGGCAGGTCTGCTGGAAAAAGATTTGGTTAAAAACTGAAAGTCAATTTTCAGCAAGAGTTTTTGTTGTTCTACAACTTTTTGTTATTTTAATCTTCAGATTCGACTTTTAACGGTTCTGTGATGACAGATGTTCCTCCGAATTATTGATGAAAATCTTGTTGATTTTTCCGTAGAGCAGATTTAGACACAGTGCTGCTTCACACACTATTGGCCAGCATTTGCTTTAAATCAGCCAATCGAGGAGCAGCATTCATTTTCCTGGCCACTGATTGGTTGAATAAGAAAGACTGTGAATGTTGGCTGCATTAGAGATAAGACGGTTTCACTCTGCGTATTAATGCATTTTAAGGTACATTTGGTGTTCCACATTACTTTTTAAAAATACTGTTATTGTTTCTTCTCAGTCAGAAATAATCCTTAAAGTTTTCATTTAAATTCCACTTTTAAATTATAATAACTTGAGAATATTTCTGTTTATTTCATATTTTTATTCCAGTGCTTTAATCACTTGTGGTGTGCCTCAGGGCTGCATCCTGGGCCCACTGCTGTTCCTAAACAACATGATGCTTCTGTTATTTTCAACCTTTCCAAAATGTTTGGTGTATCACATTCATCAGGTGTTCGAAGCTTCGCCCAGCGACTCCCTCCCACCTCACCACGATATCTGCTGCTCGTTATCCATGTTTTAGTTTTAGAGCATCATGCTCTGCATGTGTGCTATGAATGCTGGGTAATGTGTAATGTAATCAGACAGACTAGACGGACGGCGGTACCGGTTATCTTATCGTAGTCTGGAGCCGGAGAGTCGGAGCTGCTGTTTTCCTCCAGCTCCTGCCGTCTCTGCCTCACGACTCCGTCCAGGTCCACAAAATCACTCTGCAGGAGAATTACACACAGCTGAAATAATAAAAGTCACATGAGAATAAGATTGTAATAGAAATCATAAAATGACTTTTATGACTTTCGTCTGGTAATTTTCCATCATTATTCTGATAATATTTGGACTTTTTTCTTGTGATTTTTAAAAAAAATTAACTTGCACTGTGAAAACTGAAAATCTTCCCAAATAATGTTGGTTTTCACGTTAAATATCTTAAGAAAACACAAACTTCCAAGTAACTTTTCAGCAAGATAAAGGAACTTTTTTTAAGTCAATAATTCATTAATATTGTAGGAGCCATTTATCCTTTCTGGTGTTTATTGCCACCAGGGGGCGTATTTTATTTTGAGTTCTGAGTGTGATGGGGGATGGGTTATTTAAGGTCAATCATGATTCTGTTCAGGTGTTGTTAATAGGTAGAGGCAAACAGTTTTCTACTGTGCTTGGTTTTTGGATGTATGTCGAATTTATGTGGATCTTAAGGAAAACAGTAAGACAATGGACATTGTACTGGAAATAAATGACTTAACTTTATATCAAACGGAAGATCGGCATGCTGAATCTTAATTGAGCGCACGTAAAACCAACGCCTTTCAACAACAACCACCAGTAGCCTAAAATATAGGATTTTAGCCGCTACAAATATTGATGAAAATGTTCTCGTTCCATTTCCAGATAATTTCATTTGTAACATGGGAAAAATGTCCTGCTATAATTGAAATAATCTGCCAATGGAAGTAGGATTTTTTAAATTAATATTAAGAAATTATTGACTTCAAACAAGCTCCTGAGTTTTGCTGAAAGTTACCTGTCAGTGTGGAAGTGTAATAAGATATTTGCAGGAGAAACTGAACTAAAATGTCTTGGTCAGATTTAGTGATTTTGCAGTGCAGTCTGGGCCTGATTCTCTCTGGACTTTTTCCTGCCAAACTAATAAGAAATTAAAGCCAATCTATAAATAAACTAGGAAAATCTGAATAAATGAAAACATTTATGACTCGAACTCGACTGTTTGGGTTTTCTAACAAGTTCAGGATGGATTAGCGCTGCTAGCTAACTGCTTCAATCCTGCTGCTTTAACCTGTTGGTCTCAGGTTGTCATTCACAATGACAGGGGTGTCAAACTCCAGTCCTCTGCTGTCCTGCAGTGTTTAGATGTGCCACAGGTAAAAAACAGTGGAATGAAATGGCTTAATTACCTCCTCCCTGTGTAGATCGGTTCTCCTGAGCCTTGCTAATGACCTAATTATTCTTTTCAGGTGTGGTGCAGCAGAGGCACATCTAAAAGTGGCAGGACAGCGGCCCTTGAGGACTGGAGTTTGACACCCCTGTCACGAGAGGACCCAAGTTTGGGTCCTCTCGTGAATAACAGGTTAAAAGCTGCAGTCTGATGAGGCGCACAGGCAGTAAAAACTGGTGGAAAACTGGTTTGAACTGGTGGATAACTGGTAATAACTGGTGATAAATGATAATCTATCAGCCGGTTTGGTACGAAGCGGTGAGACGGACACCAGACAGGCCTACTGATGATTCCCTCTGTGACCTCCACAGGTCAGGCTGTAAAATGTTGAGTCATTTTGTGACGTGAACTCACGATAGGAAATGGGGTCAACAGCGGCGACCTCTGACCTCTGAAGCTGTGTGGAGCTGAGGAAGGAACCGGGCTGCTGCACGGACTCCTGCCCTGTGAACGTCAACACAACCAGAAGCTGCAGGTTCAAATATTACGACTCGGATTCGACTCTGAACGTTTTAATAAGTTAATTTAACGTCGAAACGTTCAAATAAAGCAACAAACTGAGAGAAATCTGCCAGTTTGCATCAAATCATTGGTTACTTATTGATAAATGCTGAGTTTTCATGTCACACATCAGGATCTCTGTTACGCAGGAAATCATCCGTTGAATTCATCTTAAAACCCAGAATATTATTTTAAAGTAAAGAAAATGTATTCTTAAAGCTGCAGTATGTAACTTTGATAAAAATATTTTTTACTCATTTGTTGAAACTGAGTGTGTTCTCCCAAATATTCTATTTATGACGAATATTTCAGCAAAAACTAAATCTAGAAAGTATTATTCTTTTGCTTGATTTCAGTTGAAGAAACAATAAAACTGACATAAAATTATCAGCTCCTGAAAACCAGAATGAAGCTAAAATTTTATTTGTTTAGCACATTTCAGCAGCAAGGCATTTCAAGGTGCTTTACATAATTAAAAAACAAATTAAAAACAGCATGTGACATTGAATAAACAGTAAGAAAGAGAAAGAGATTTTGGAAAAAACAAAACAAAAAAAAAGATAAAAACATACTTTTGTTACAGAACTTAAGCGCCTGTCGTCGCTGGACTCTGCCGTCCGTTTAACCCGGGTATTATCCAGGTATTATCCAGGTATTATCCAGGCCCCGTCGCCTGACAGGACAAGGTCTCCAACCTTGCAGCTCCAGACTCCGTCCACCTGTCACGCGATTTTTTGCGCTAGGACTTCGCCGTCCTACACGGATTTTTGTGCACTATTTTTACCTGTTAGAGTCTAGAATTTACAGGGTTTTTATGCATTACTCCGTCTCACCTCTAGGTGGAGACAGAGTGACGTCAGGAACTTGTAGGTGTTGTCTCTGGACAGGAAGGAGACGAACACGTACTGCGGCAACAGAAGAAGAAAGTCTGCTCACCCACCAGTCAGTATCAGCTGATTATCGGTTATTGAACAGGAAGTGAGCTGGCTGGACGCGTTTGATTTCTCACTCTGTCGTTGGTGGTGGCGATCACCAGAGCGTTTGGCAGCAAGATGGCGGTTTTGGTCTTTTTGATGTTGGTGATGGACATCACTGGGATGGCAATCTGAAATAAAAAATAAAATATATTTTTAGCTAATCCACATCTGGACTTGGTTTAATTATAAAGTAAAACTGCTTCAGGGATTTTAAAATGTCTGAATTTATTTCAGATTTACTCTAATCAACATTGAATACGGAATATATATAATTTAATTTTGTCCAGTAACGCTCTATTTCTGTGATAAGTGTTTATTTTTTGCACTGCTTTCATTTTATTGAAGCGCCTGTAAAACCTATTCACCCCTAGGATGTTTGACTCTTTTTATTGCATTTATAAATCTATCATAGTCAACAAAATTTGACTTTTTTGACCAAAATTTACAAAAACAAATAAAAAAGAAACTATAAAGTCAAATTGAAGTAAACTATTACAAAGTAATGACACTTAAGCTATAATATTTAGGTTTTTGCATAAATATTCCCGCTGTTCCAGTATTTGCGCCTCTGGCTGCCGTCCCAGCAGGAAGTCTGTGTGGATCAGTCTGACAGTTTTTCTTCCTGCTAAACTGTTGGTAGGAATCAGCTGTGAACAGGCCATGACTTTGACTAGGCCACTCCAAAACCATCTCTGTGTAGCTTTAGTTGGACATGCTTTAAAGGGGGTAAATATTTATTCAATTATTTTATGCTAAATGTTTTTGATTTCTAAATTATTTTGTAGAAATTAGCTTTCATTTGGCAATAAAGAATTTCCGGAAACAGATTCGGTTTTTAGTTAATAACAATATTTAAGGTGAACCAGAACCTTTTAGTTCCCACCAGAACTCTGCTGTAACAACAGGCTGTGTGTGTGTGTGTGTGTGTGTGT